AATGCATAAATTTCTGTCTAAGTGTTCAATTACCAGACTATATTCCTCAGTTTCAAATTATTTAACTAAAAACTATAGTGACAAGATCTTTAAGAACTAAGAGTAAATGATTATCTTTTCTTTTATATTGTATTAAAAACATATTACAATGTTTTTTTTCGAATGTGGAGGGGAAATGTTGAAGAAGTTTGAAAATATTAAGAATTATATACAACTTGAAATTTAGTTTTATAGATTCTAAGGCTTAGTAATTTCCTTTCTTTTTTAGTCTTGACTTTTTTTAATCAACGATTTCAGAAAAGTAACAAATTAACTGCAACCAGTGGTTTTCAAAGAATTCTGATACAATTTTGGTAATGACACAATATTCTACAAATGTGTCCAGACAAAGACTTCATTGGGCCTTATAAGTGAGATGTTATAGCTACCTTTACTGCTATCCAAAAAGGAATATACGAATTTGGGCTAAGTGGTGTATAAGATTAAAAGGAAATGTATGTCGACTACTGGTAATAATATACAGCGCTCGGATGCTAAGCTATTGTCGGGCGACTAGACTTTAAAATCTGTCAAGGATTTCATCTAACTTGGCATAACGTAACAAACAATAACGATGTCAATCTAGAGATTAAAAGAGAATAATCTTTATTGCTAATAAGTGCTACTATGAGCTCAGTAGGCAATTGGGATGCAGAGATTTAAGTCTAGCCTAGCAGTGCAAACAAAGTGAGTAATCAGTAAAAATAGTTTCGTTATTTTTCAAAGTATTCGCTATGATGATCAATACATTTTTACATTTGATTGAACCAATTTTCGAAACAATTTTGCCACTTTGAAATTGAAATCTCCAAAATAAGTGTTTTGAATGTCTCAACGACCTGTTCGTAGGTAGTAAAATGTTCGCCACGCATTATTTTCTCAATATTTAGAAATTAGAAGAAGCCATGGGGTGTCAAGTCGAGACTGTAAGGCAGATGATCCAACAATTCGACGTTTTGGGTGCTCTTTTGGGTGCTCTTGTTTGAACTGATGTGTAGAAGCTGGCATTATCGTGGTGGAGATGATCTTCCAACAACGATTGGTTGAAGTCGAAAATCGTAAAATTAGAATTTAGTAACGATGTATAAACAACTCAATAATAATGATGCTATAATACAATAATCTATAATAATTTATAATCATTAATTTATATAACAAACTGCAATTGGTAAAATTAAGGGATTTAATAAAGATAATACATACATGTATTATATTTTTTAAATTATTTATTCTAATTGTGTTCTTGCAAACTACGAATATATTGTATTTAGTACTGTCAGTTTCCCATAAGTTTTTATGGACTAAACTATTTTTTTTTGTGCTACAACTATAAATAAAGTCGTAATGTAAAAACGAATTATATCTATTTGTAACATATGCCATAAAAATTAATACACTTCTATAAAAAAATATACAAAACAGCACATCTAAAACTTTATTTATTCTTCAGACACTTTGAAATAATTACCCAGAATCGAGAAAGAAGTGAATCCATCATTAAAACAATCGAACATTTTATGTCAGTGTAATTAATGTCATTTAGAAAACTTTAATTACAAATAAGAGGAAAACTCATAGAGAAGAGGTATGCCTTATCAACCAGTTCCAAAGCAATTAAAAGGTAGTAATTATATGCAATCGTTGTTTTTTTTTTGTAGGCATTAAATTAAAAGCTACAATACCTATCAGACACGTTTTGCATACTCGAAAAGGTGTTTATAGCGTAATAGAATTTTGTCAATAAAAAGCAACAGGAAATAAAAGACACTATTTCGCTATCTCAACGGTTCGGGTTTTCCCATTTCAAAGGTTTTGCCTTCTTCAGTTACAAAATCGAGTGAAACTGTGACCATTTTAGTTAGCTTCAGTTGAGTTGGAAACAACTAACAGTGTATATATGGCAATTACTTGGCTATTCAGAAAATTGCCTAAATAGACAGATTCATTAATATCTCCTAGCAATTATATCCTCGCAATTATTCAATAGAGTAAACATTTATTCAAGCCTTTAACTGTCACTTTGTTCAGCTAAAAGAGGAACTAAAAAACGAAACTAATAGCACAATATGTGCTGATGTATGTACAGATAAGTGATAAATATATGTATTCCTAGACTCATCTGGGTAAACGAAAAGTGCTTGAAGTTAATGAGCGCACATGAAAAGTGATTTATACTGCGGTAAACTAAAGCGTTTGCAAGCCTAAGTGAAAATTACTTTAGTGCTATAAATATTTCGAAGTTGCTTGAAAAAGTCTCTTAAAATGTTGTATGAACTACCAATATGGTTAGAGAAGCCCATAAAACATCCGTGACATTAGAGTGATCTAAGGCTTGGAGATGTTATGTTAAGTATCTAATGACTTGTCCATAGCGCAGGCAATCAGCAGCGAGTGTTTTAAAGGCAATTTCAACTTGAAATCTTCCTTTGTGTGAGCTTTGCTCCCAACAATAAATTCATATGCCTATTCTGTCAAAATACTTACTGGCAAGGATAATAAGTTTCACTTTTAATTTGCTGGCAGTTCTAGGAACTCAAACTGTTGATGTACCAAACTATTCAATAACTGTAGGATGTGTGAAGAAATTGAAATCGTATTCTATTCAAAATCTGAATGTCAAAGTTTTCACAATTTTATTGCAGTCTTACTTTAAGAAACATACTAAAATCTATTTGTATTAATTTGATATAAATATATATAATATGTATATATGGTAAAAAGATTTCGAAGAGTGATTACAAGAAAAATTTCTTTTTATATTATTTTAATTAATTGAATTTTTGGCTTACTCTACAGCAGTGTCGAGTATTGCCAAATACCCTTCATCAACTCGTACCCTGCCAAATTTTATTGACTCTGAGCTTCAAATTTGGCAGGGCACGAGTTCTACCTGCCTGAATTCTACTTAAGACTGCAAGTAAAATGTATATATATATATAAAATATATATTTCATTTGATTAGATCAGCTTATGTCATTAATACAGATGTTATTTGTATGCTTTCATATTATGACAAAAAGATCGAATTCTACTACTACAATATTATTATTATATTTCACTTGTAGTCACAAAAAATTCACTACTGTTCGATAAAAACCTCTCTATTCAAAACAACAGTTTATATTAGAAATTTAATTTCATCAAAACGTACATTAAAAATTAATTTAATTTTTATGCTTTTGGACTATGGTTCTACGGCCTAATGATCTATGATATCCCGCTTCAAGGACTTGTCCTAGTGTTCTATAAATTGTAATATTAATCTATTAATCTACATTACGGAGTCCTATTTGTTGATTTGATATGACACGCCCGCCTAGGTTCTTCAATCATGTATGCATCAGAGGCAATCAAACCAGTATTGTTCATGAAGTCCAGTATTGTCGGTAATAGCGATCTAAATGCAATTATAAGAACATTTTGTTTTTTTCTGTCATATATATGATACATTATAATTTTTTACATTAATGATGAGAGGTGTACGCTGGAGTAGTTCGAAAAAATATTTATTTTTCAAAACCAAATGGTGTGCAAAAGTTACTTTATAGAAAAAGAAAATGAAACACATTATTCAGAATTCGTAAAGAACTGACTAAATTGAACCTTTTTGACGAATTTTTACAATCACTGAAATTCATACCATAAAAACACTATAGTTTGTTTCATCTAACTTAAAGTACCAAAAATGCTAATATTATAAATATCTAAGGATAATGTAACATTACCAGCCCTAACAACTAGGTCACAAAACAAGTAAAACGGACATTTTTCGCGTCTAGCGATATATCTTGCAATATCACATCCAATGACTTTCAATTGATCATAAAATAAACTTTTTCGAAAAATATATTATTATTGTAGTCTGCGGTAATTTTGTAGTCCCTTTGGTGGTAGTGAACAGCACTTGGTTGTCGAAATTGACGAACGGCACCGAGACGTAGACGTGGCCGTTCTTAGAACCTTTAATGAAATATAATATTTTATACTGTTTGCTGTGTCTTTTGCTTAGTTTGTTGTGGGAAAAACATGCCTGAGATAAGTTGATTTATGAGGTCGAATCAAATAGTGATATGCTCATTTGGTATAATTCTTCGCAAATATTTTCTAACAATTTCTTCAATATGTACTGTATCGTCCTTCCTACCTTCGACTTTTTCTTTTTGAATTTTGTTTTTATCAACTAAATAAAAATCATCTGTTTCCAATGTTTTTAAAGGACTAAACAGTACTCTGTTATAACAGTTGCGTGATCTTTATACTTTATAACAAGATCATTAATTAAAGCTGTAGCTCTTAATGATATTCTCATCTGCCGCTGTTTTTGATTTTCGCTCTCTGAAAATATAAACGAAATTAAAAATCTAATTAAAGCCAAAATAATGGCCTTTTGTGGGGCTACAGGATTGGCGTTTGTTCATACATAGACTAAACGTAATCGTAATCAGTATATCAATAACGTAGAAAGGAACGACTCCTCATTAGATAAAGATGAACCAATCTGAAACTTCTATAAGCTTGCCTAATTTAACAGGATGACAACTCGGTCAGGTCAGTAAGAAAATGTGCCCCGAACAAAGTCAAAACAGAACGACTCCTCATTAGGTAAAAATAAAGCAATCTGAAACTTCTATAAACTTGTCTAATTTAACAAGATGACACCTCGGTCAGGTCGGTAAGAAAATGCGTCTAGAAAATTTTAGATCAGTGGTATACTTTATAAAACATAATCTTCATAAAAGTTATTGAAATCTGAGTAATTAAAGCAATAAAATCGAACCAGTCAAATATTGTTAAGTTAACAAAAAATGTATTATAATTTACGGTAATTCCGGTAATTATTTACGAATATATGTATACATATATATGTTTACATCAACGAACTTCCAACGTTTATTCTCCGACCACAACTGCAATAACTTTAGATATTATTTTTCTAGAAATAAAACAACCTCATATCCGAAACTTTATATAGACTGTATATAATTTTGAAATAATTAAAAACTTTACAGAAATTTTGATCAAAATTTTGTTAGTTAAGGCTTTAGGTTTCTTGTAGTTGTAATAATTGGTAAACCGGTGATGTTCTTTTTGTTACAAATAATTTTTATAGTAGTGTCAAAACTTTCCGATTATTAGCGGTTGGAGTTCTGTCCGATTTAGACTCATCGTAGTCATATTTGGTCTATTTGGAACCATATCTCTTTTTGAAGTATTAAAAATTGAACTTTTCTATTCCAAATGATATTTTTGATCAATAATGCGAGAAAAATGTTTGTTGCATTACCATTTCCATATAACTTTAAAACTTTTGATTGATGGTGTTAACGATAGGCATTCGGCTTACGTGGTTGGCACCTTTTTTAAAAATTCAATGCAATTTATAATGAATATAAGTACAAATTTTATTTTTTAAATCCTTCACTCGTTATCCAATTCTTATCACCTTTTATAGGGTGTTAGCATGTTGACTAATCTGTGGTGTTAGTTGTCCTGAAGGATGTGTTGCGACAGTAGTTAGCATTTACTTTTTTATTTGACTGTGTGATGCGGCTTTATGCAATCAGTCATAATGAAAACGATGTATTAAATTGAAAGGTGCACCGTTTTGCTTTTTGCTTGGGTAATCTACAACAACTTTGACTAAATCAGTTAGCACCTTTGGACACACGGCTGCAGTAACATGTGTGGAGTGGGTTAAATCAGGCGATGAATTTATTTCTATAAGTATGGGAAAGTAGTCTTGGTCCAGCATAAAATCACATCCAAATAGCTCGTAGGTGTTTGGAATTAGATCTGTTTCCTTAAGACTTGCTGTGACAATCGAAACAATAATCGCACGAATCCTCGGAATTATTTGTCTTTTCCACAAATCATATTTGCCTTGAGAATCCAGATACTTTAAAAATTCCACTTGACCCCACATATTGCACGGAGGCAATCGTTTATCGCGAGTTGTACTATTTGAGTATTTTTTTTGCACGGAATTATTAGTCAAATGAACCGACTCTCTTAAATCATTCAAACTGAATGTTTGTGAGCTAAATCGTAAGTAAAAGTCATCATATAACCAAACTGATATAAATTCCGCTTCTATACGATATATGAAATACATTCTTATGTCGAATTTCGTGTTATAGATTAACAAAGGGCGCTCTGAAAATATTAACAAATATACACAGAATATATTAGTATGAAATAATATTGGATATATATATTTTGATAACTGTGAAAACTTACCGATATATTTTTGCACAATATAACTTTGACTGTTTCTGGCATTAACTACTCGTAATACATATTCCACATCCCTTGTAAGAAGTATACCCATACCACGGCATCTGAAACCTGGTTTTAACAACCAGATATTTTTATGGCCTTCCCATTTTATATTACGAGTATTTTCTTCAAGCGAACGCAGACACGGTTTCACGATATTCACAACATCATTGAGCATAGGTAAATTCATTTTTAATTTGCATTTGGAATGTATTACATTATTTGATGATAAAATAAAATCATTCCATTGATCATTAGTTTTTTTTTCAAAGATTGAACCTTTCTTCTCATTGACGTTATTAGTTCCAGTAAAATATTCTTCTTTAAATACTTCAAGCGCAAAATATGCAACAGATGCCGGTATTGTCCCCACTTTCTCATCAATAACTTTTTGGCTGTTTGTAAAATGTTTGCATAGGTATCTTAAAAGTGATCTGCACTGTGTTCGACGGAAATCTTTTACGAAAAGTTCTTGTTCACGTTGGGAATCACAGATTCGGTATACACGCGGGTATCTATCATTATCACACGTATCTTCTTTTGTGCAACCAATTAAACCAACTTTCGACGTGAAATCTGTATCATATCCCCTATATACTCGATTTCTATGCGGATAAGATCCATTTACAACATCACCTATGCTTTTAATTGTTATATCCGTTATGAATTTCGGTTGCCATATAAATACAGGAGGATATTTTGCTAGAACTCTTGAAATCATAACAATTTCGTAATTATTTCCCTTTCTTGCATTATATAATAAGACGGCATCCGGCAGATCCTGCAATGAAGAAAAGCGATGCTCAGGAAGCTTTTCCAACCAACCACGACGATGAAATTCTTTGCGAAGTGCTGTGAAATGCCCATGAATGAAAAATATTTGCCCTTTTTCGTGTGCTTTGGTCGCACGTTCGATATATTCATTGTGAAGGTCTGTTAACCTTTGTGTAGCTGCTGGATCTGATAGGCCAGTTATGGAAAAGGCAGAACCAATATTTGTGTCTGAGCTTAATTCATCAAAAGAACCATTATCATCATCTTCGGAGTCATAATCGGATCCCGAATACACATCAGTATCAAAAGTATCAACAAATCGGCCATGAAAATAATCACTGTCAAAATTTGTCTCCAGGTCTTTTAGTGGTACATGCTTGGAAAAGTACTTTTCAATCATCTGCTTAAACTGATTTTCTCTTTGTGTCTTAGCCTCAACGACACTCTGAATTTTTTTCTTGTCATTGCGTATATATAAATCAATTAATTGTAATTTTTGAGTTGACTGTTTTCTTTCCAATCGCAAAGGGTTTCTTTTTACATATTGTCCATTTTGTCCATCTTGACCACCTTCCAATTTTCTTTGTTTTCGTACTGTTTTACGCTTTTTATGCTCTCTATCTTGATCTTTTCTATATAAATTTAATAATGATTTACGAAGGCGTGCTTGCGGACTTAACATTGTTGTCCAACGCCTTTCTATATTCTCGTTAATATTTCTGAGCTTTTCGTGATCGATTGTTTTGAAAGGTCCTACACGTAACTCTAGTTTATCTGGCACTTCTTTAACAATTTCTTCTGGTTCTTCGGTAGTCTGTCGAAAAAATTTATTTTGTAATATCAGCTTTGCTATTGTTACACTATCTTCTTCTTTTTCTTCTACTTTCTTTTCACTAATATTAATCATATTTGTGTAGGCTTTATATGAAAGTATTGGTAAATTATAAATTTCATCTTCCTTTTGTTTTGAGTAAATTTGATTCAAACGTTCTTCGAAAGATGTGGTGCTAGAAATTAACTTCAGTTCGACGTATTTATCTCTTCGTAAATTGGTTAGCTGATAACTTGAGTTTAGTAAATTTAATGGACTTTTCTTTTGAAATATTTTCTTTTCTTCCTTGTGCTTTGCAGCTCTTGATGTTGATGGTAAATCGATATATTCGTATAAATCTGATTGCGAGGACTTCGATAGTTCCAGTTCTGATTTAGTCTCCATTGGTACATCGATTTTGCTTTTCTCAGCTACGTTTTTACTTTCAGTTGATCCCAGTTGATTAGAAAAAACCTTTCTCTGTAGGAAACAAGCTTTTAATATGTTTAATGAATATTTTTTTTAATAATAGTACTCACATTGTTTTGTATGGTTCCATTAAATTTTTTTTTATTATCACCAGCGATCAGACGAGCACCTGTTTCAGTACTCGTTGAATGAGGTTTTTCGTCTATCTTGTCTATAGCACTACATTGTGATGATTTTTTTACAGCACATTTCTTACAGAGGGGCGCTAACTCCTTGTTTACATCGGCCAATAGTGACTGCAATTCCTTCATGTTCTTACTAAACTCTGTTTCATTTTCAGGCAAATTGCATTTTTGATCCATTATTTGTTCAATATTTTAATACCTTGAATGGCAAATTGAGTGAGTACAGATTTATTTCTACATTTATCTTCTAAATTGAATTAAATTAATTCAAAGAAAAAAAAAAACATTTGTTAGAAGGTTCGCACTAAATTCAATACTTACTTCTTCAATGATTTGTGACACCCACTGAATTTTCTGAAAAAAAAGTAAAAAGTGAACAAAATTGTTATTATAGGAATAAAAACTTTTATTTAAAGGTCTGTTAAAATTAATGATATTAAAAAAAGAAGATGGTATTTTTAAATTCCATGGGCATGTGGTGCGGTGACCCATGGTGAATTGTGGCCAAAACTATGAGGACAGCCACCTCTAAATAATTATTAACACAAAAAAAGGGAACGGATATTTCTTAATCTGATATTTGTAATATAAATATGACAAACTTTTATTTGCAGTAAATAATTTTATAACTATGGAATAATAGGTATTGGCATAGCGTTTCTATTTTAGTGGACACAATTTTAATTTTATTTTTTATTAACTTCTTGGTCTATATATTGTTAGTGAATAGTTTAATTTTTTTTTATTTCTAAACAAATACACATAAAATCTTTCAAAATAAAAAAATTGAAGCTTTTTCCAAAGAGCCCGCATGTATACCGATTCTTAGTAACTGCATCACACATACGGGGCTGTATATTTTGACTACTGATAAAGCGAAATTGGCACTGCACTAGAGCATAAGGTTTTTGGAAAAATAGTATTTTTTTAAGATAATATATTTAAAAAGCTTATCCATAAAAAAAAAAAATTAAATTCTAATATAATGTGGTTAGCAATTATCTTATATGACCTGTTCATCTGTAAGGTCAAGTTAGATGAGATAATTGTTGACTTAATTGACTACTTTTTACAGTACTTTTCTATTGAAAAAATATTAACAATACATAGACCAAAAGCAGATGCTTTCTATAACTTATATATAAGTCATATGAAAACTTGAGTGCAGTCGAAATGGAATATCAATATTATGGTAATGAAGTAACTATTTAGAAAACAGATACTAAACTTATTGTTAAAATAAAAAAATTAAAATCAAAAATGTCGTTTGTTTTTGACTTTATGACCAGACTTTATGACTAAAACGATTCCCCTTTAATAGCAGCAATAGTGAATAGTATTTTTAAATTCGAATACATTTCAACCCACTTGAAAACTATGAAAAATGTATACTGCAAACAAGGGTTTATATGTGATATAATATCACATCAGCCCACATATTTTTCGTTCGTAATTTCATCGGCTCAACTATATGATTGGGTTAAGAAAAATTAAAACTAGCGAAATAATTTGGTTTCCGCATGACACACTAAACCACAGATTAAATCTACAAATTAACTTAAGTTATTGAAAATATCACCTAAAAGAACAAAAGGTTCTGACCTTGCAAAAGTTGTCGATAAAGTGTGTCATATTGGTTAATGCACTGTTTCGAATATATTAACCGATCACTTGTTTTGAGCAAGAAAACATATATTTCTACCTTAAGGAAATACAAACAATTGTCTCTCAGGAAAGCATGAGTCTTGCTGGTTTTACGTGGTTACCTGTGAAACAAGTTGGAATATAATGAGCCATTAAACGCTGCGTTACAATATATTCGGCCGGTACCAATATTACCATACGGTTGCGAAAATGCAAGCCTAATTCGACTGCAAGCATAATTGCATCATTCTTCCTACTCTACTAAGCAATAATCCTGGATACCAAGCTGAATATCTTGGTGACACATCCATGTTTTAAAGAAAAATAAGAATTCAAATTTAAATATCATAATAGCCCAGCCTAAGCTATTATTTAAGTCAATATGAATAGTGCGCCTATTTATAGGGTTGTTTGTCAGAAATAACCGTAAAGATCCAAATCTTTCAAGTTGTGATGATGATTAAAATCCATAAGTTTCTGGAAACTTATTTAATCCAATAATTTCATAACATACATATATTATATTAATAAAATTTTTTAAATAAATTGGCACTTACCCGATTTAAAAATTTTGAAACATTTCATATAGAATTGCCTTGATTTAGTGGTCCGAACCGTTTTGTGAAGATAAACCTACATATCAGATATTGACATATTACAATGTAAAAATTTTTGATTCACATAAAAATTTTCTAAAACACCGGCCTACTGATGGACAGACAGCAAAATATTCAAAATGTCAAAACAAAAAGAATTTTGTTAATATGGAAAAGAGAAAAATTTTTACAATTAATAGTTATATGGTCTCATTTTGATGAATTATTTAATTTTCAGCAAAAGACTTATATATCTGTACAATATATTCAATACATAACCTTAGATACAATCGAAAAATAAAATCAAGAAACCGGCACCGGTCTCTTGACCGGCACCAAATTTAAGCAAAATCTTTATAATGAATATTTTGATGTAGTTTAATATATATAATTGTTAATTACCTCTTATTTGTCTAAAATTGTATTTTTTTCAAAGAAAAACACTACTAAATAAATTAATAAACATTAAATTGAAAATCTAGTTTCGGAAAAAAGTTTTTATAACTTTTCTTTCAATTTTATATCTACGTCATTGTCTACTGAAAACCAGGGTTGATATATTTTAAAGATTGCCGAATAATGTTCACAATATAACGATTGTTCATAATATACTATATTCTTTGATGCATACATTAAACAATTAATTTGAACTTTTATTTTGGTTAAAGCGGAATACCTTTTAGATTCTGTTTAAAAAGTATCCGGAGTTTCTTTGTTTGTACTACTAATCAGAGTTTATTTTATTTTCTACAAACTTCCCTACATCTAGTAGAACTTTGATAAAAAAAAGAAATTTACAAAATTTAGTTGGTTTTTTGAAATGTTAAATGTGTATTTTTACTTTTTAACTACTTCACCTCATTTATCACCAATTAAATAAAATTAAAATGCTAAAAATTTAACACTGTTCTAATTAAAGTAAGTCACATTTGCTATATATTAAAACACATACTTAATACATCTTCATAATAAATTCTGCAGATTTTTCGAAAACCACAAAAACTGTTTACATTAGATCCTTACAACAAAGTCTATTTCACTATTAAACCATGTCTTATTTGTTTTCTTCTATAGAGTTTGTGATGTTTAGTGCCCTCTATTTACCAATAAGCATTGCTAGACAAGTTTTAAACTCTGCGAGTTACTTTATACGAACATGTAACAAGAATTAAGTTATCATGGTTAAGTGTAAACACTCTTCACTAAACTCTTTAGCCGATATAACGCTACCTTTTAACGCTACTCTATTAAATGCCTATTAAGCACAAATTTTTGTTAATTTTGAACAAAATTTCGTTTAAATTTCAAAAAAAGTGTATATTAAGCAACCAAATAGCTTAAAAATTTAAGATACTGTTTTATTTGGAACCCTGCATAGATTTGGTAAATCGAACAGAACAAATATTTTGCTATTTGCATTAATAGCTGTAATCAGTAGTGCGGCAAATGGCAGGTCTCTTGCCAAAGTCTCTTGCTGATAAATTGGTATCACCATTCCAATATGTCACATATGTTTTCATAATTAACAAATCTTAGGTTATTTGTTATTTCCATTAATTGGCGTATTCAGCAGTTCTGAAGTGCGGCAAATGGCAAGCCTCTTGCTAAAGTCTCTTGCTGATAAATTGGTATAACTATATCATTTTGTTAAATAATTTTGTCAATATTAATAAATGTTAGTTAGGTATGTCCGCGAAACTCAAGCCAAAGTAAATTTTGTATAAATATTTATTAAAAATTTAAGAATTAAAAGAAATAGTAAATTGAGTGCAATGGTTACAATGAACCAGACCTGTTGTTTCACGTACAAATTAGAGACTTAGCAAGAGACTTGTTGATTTTAACCGGACTTCGAAGCGGACGAATACATCTCTTATCTTAATTCATATTTTATCTCAATTATTGTTTGTATATGATCTTTCGTAGAACTGTAATGTAATTTTGATTCATGAATGTCCGCACTAAAATTCGTTATTTAGTGGTTATAAAGATTAAATTAAATTTTGCTCCATGAATGTGTGTCTAAACAAAGCATTATGTTTTTACCCATTTTTTAGACTTTTGTTATTCACAAAATTTACAAAGTTAAGTTACCAAAAAATATATTATATTTTACGATTTATAAGAATCAATTTAAAAATCACATTAAAATTATTTTTTACAATGTTTGTCTTAAGACTGAATTAGTTGTGCTGTATGAATCAGCTGATCGGTTGAATCGTATGAAAAACAATACATTTGACCAATTGAACTTTGTTTTCTTGACTTAAACATATGCGAAGTTTTATATCAGCTGATATAAACATTGATTAATCGTATTATATTTCTCTCTGCGCGAAGAATTTGGTGATCAGATTGAACTTGTGTTATTTGTGTTTAATACTCTTCGACATGATTTTTTCTGTGTTCTCCTGATTACATTTTCTAAGTTCGCTAAAGCAAGATACAGATGATGATGCGTGTGTGTACACTAAGTATTAAGACTAAGTATCCGATTTGCTATACACTTTGAAGAAAGGTGTAATTTTACCGTATACATGTCTGAAGATCAAAATTAAGTATGCGTACTAGAATATACACAGTGCGATTTGGTAGCACATGTAGCATCGTCTCTATCATGCTTAAGTCTATGGCCACTAATTCAGCTTTTAAGCATGATACATGGCGCTTCATATTTATAGCATATAAATTTTCGTATATCAGTTAGTTTTATTAACTAACAAAATGCAACAAGTCATACGTCTATTAATAGTTTTCTATATTCAACAAGGACTGATTTACAAACCATTCACAATAGGACATAAAATTTTTTACCAATATATTGGGCCCTTTATACAAGTATCAAAGAATAATGTGTTTTTTGGGTATTTCTTGACATATAGTCGCAACAATACTGAATTCTGTTTCTAAACTGCGTTGGTAACACTATTAATTCTATTATTAATTCTATAATATAATATAGTATATATATTCTATAATTAATTCTAATATAAGTTAATTTTTTTGAAATAAGTAAAAAAAGGGTTCAATGAAATAAATGTACGCCCAATTTTTCAATTGTTCTCCTAAGAAACCTTAATAAGATAAATCAAAATTTTGAATTGAAGGAAAACTTTCTTATTCACAATTTGATCTTTGTCCTGAATTTCAATCAAAGTTTGATATGAGAATTTTAAAAAAAAAAACATCTTAATTTTATTTAAAAATTTCGTTTCGTTTCCGAAGATTTGGTAAGCCACAAGTAGAAGCTGACTAATGATAATATTTAGATTGAATATAAATTTCTTTAGCATCGGCGCTAGAAGATAGACACAGCCTAGAAATAAATAACAGAAAAACATTGACTTCTTTCAATAATACAACATTATTTTTAAGATGTTATTGAAGCCAATTATATCCTCTAAACTTAAAGCGCATCTCAAAGGTCAATTGAAACCAAAAAATCTGGATCTCATGAATACTATAGATAATATGGTATAAGATAAATGAATATTCCGAAATCTGTTAAAGGCGATTTATATAATTAAGAAAAACTCATCTCAAGTCCTTTTTCAAAAGGTTTGCTAGTCCGTATTTATATTCTTGAGTAGCCTTGCAAACGTAGGAGTCTTAACTCTTGTAATCACAAGATGATTATGTACATAAAAAGTTAAACAGCGCTAAAGGCAATTTTCATATAATACTTCAAACAAAATCTTGAATCCTAAACTCGAAAAAGAAAATTATATACAGGAACCTCTTGCGAATCCACGTAACCAAACTGATATATATATGAAAGAAGGGATAATGATTAAATGAAAGTGCTTAACCAGACCTGTGCCAAAGTACAAAAGTCAAACGGTGGAAAGAGTTCTTAATTTTTACTTATACAATTACGGAAAGATACGAGCAGCACTCGCATACATTCTGGAAGTTATATATAGTGTTGTATATATAGGAAATACAGTAAATTACAATCTAAGGAGACCTTAGAATATGTCTTATATTTAATGTAATGTCATGAATTGACAAGAACATCTCCTTATTACTTGAAAACCTTAGAAAGTTGGCAGTTGTTAGAGGAATGGATTTGCAAGAACCTCTTACAATCGTAAAAAGTTTTAATGTTATATGCACTGCTAGTCTCTAATTGAATATAAATTTTTTGTTTTTGTAAATTCTGGCTGACCTAAATTTAGTTTTATGATTCCGTAATGTTCGTTCTTCTGTCTTGTCATCTTTATCATTCAATATAATTTATAAATATAGTTAATTAAAAATAATTGAAAATAATCTTTATAATCAGTTAGAACTAATTGCAATAGAATTACGCTTAAAGTTTTTCGGGCACATAATTACAGTAATAATCGGCGACCCACTAGAAAATATGTATGCATATTGTTTGAAACGCATTATTTAGACCATGGTAAAGGTTGTTGAATTAAAATATATAAACAAAATAAAAATATATTTGTCCCGATATAGGTAAAGACTCACTTGCTATATATGTCGATGATAAAGGTATAGTCCTTACAGCATTAAATCGTATCAATTTTCTTGACAGTTTTGTGTTGGTTGAGAGTAATGTAGTTGGGTTTGATGATTTGATGACTACAATGACATCGTGTATCAAAAGTTGAGGTAGTAAATGATAATTAAATTTTTTTTAAATAAGTGCATTAAATTTTAATTTTGATTTCGATAAGGATTATCAGTTATGCTTTTTCAGGTCAGATGCCTATTTTATTCATCGGTTGAGTTAATATATTAATATTATATATCTTTTTTATTCAAGTGGACCAAATTATTTGATTAAAATCAATCCAGCTTTGTTTAGATTTGTAATGAATTTCATAAATACATAAATATAAGTGTATTGTTTGAAAAATTAAAATCTTTTGGACAAATCAATAATTTTTATTAAATATATACTTTCTGCAAATCAGTAAGTTGTCTCAAAAATACATGGTTTACACTTTTTTTATTAATTTTAGGCTATGTTATAAAATAAAATGTTTCGCTCATCTTGGATTTTCTTTCCAAACCAAAAAAGTCTTCCACACATCGTAGTCTTACACGATTTGTAGGAATGCATATCATCACACTATGTTTTTGTTCTGTTCTTATAAAAATTATTTAAGAAACCGTTTTAAGGGATTTGGCATTAGGTTTTTAAATATTGACATCTTTTTCTTTCCCTATGAAACTTAAGGCAGCAGCTCCCGTTCTTTGAGTTTTGCAAAGCTTGTTTTTGTCAAATTTTTTTTTAAATAACTAAAGAGTCCATTTTGTCTTTTTAATGACTTCTACTTCCTATCTCTTAGACGTTTCTAAACGTTACGTTTTATGAGCAGGAATGCCCACATTGGCAGTTGTGTATATTTTTTTGTGGGCTTAAAACGTTTTACGGGATTTGGCATTAGGTTTTTAAATATTGACATCTTTTTCTTTCCCTATGAAATTTAAGGCAGCAGCTCCCGTTCTTTGAGTTTTGCAAAGCTTGTTTTTGTCAAATTTTTTTTTAAATAACTAAAGAGTCCATTTTGTCTTTTTAATGACTCCTATTTCCTATCTCTAAGATGTTTTTAAACGTTACGTTTTATGAGTAGGAATGCCCACATTGGCAGATGTATATATTTTTTGTGGGTGTAAATCTTAATATGCGCTGTGAACTCAAGCGTGAGTTGCAGCGCTTTGTAACAACAGTTCATTGAACCGCTTTAGTAGATCTTCCGGTTCTATGAAGGCTTGTTTCGGAATCTTTTTCTTCCCCTGACATTTCTTACCTGGTTTTTTAATTTTCTTTCTCATAGTTTTGTCCATTTTTCTTTTTTTATTCTTTTTGATACATTCATTTATAACAGGAAACGGAATAAATATAGTCGCTTGAGAAATATTTTTTGGAGATCCTACGCAACTTTTTTTATCTTTAGGCAACAACTTTGCTAAAAATATTGGGTTTTGACCCTGAGATGTTGAAGATTTGCTAATCATATGCGACTTTGTCGAATTTTTCTTCTTGTTATTCAATTTTTGTCCAGGCTTATGAATGGTTTTTCTAAGAGATTTACCAGGCTTTTTAGTCTTTGGTTTTCGTAAACATTTTTTCTTCTTTTTATTTAACTGCTGTTTTGGCGCTTTGAGTACTATATCAAGTTTTATGCACTGGTCGTCGGTATACCCTTGCCTTTTTGAGCCCAATGCCTTAGAATTTTTCTTCTTCATCTTGCTACAAAATTTTTCACAAGGTTTTTTTACAACTTTTCTGAATGTTTTGTAACGTTTCTTTCTGGTTCTACTAAAACCTTTTTGACTTTGTAATCTCAACGCTTTTCCAGTAATGTGGGGATTGGATTTTGCAACAATACGTTTTTGAGTCATGCCTCCTTCCGAATCCATTATATTGTTGGTTTCGTTTTCAGTGTTTTGCGTAAACCGTAATAGATTCCAAATTGCGGCACAGCAAGCCTTGCCTCTGTTCTTAAAATTTGTAAAAAGACCGACTTCAGGTGGCTAAAATTGATAATAAAAACATTAAATATATTATAAAAATTCTGGTATCATAAAATTGCTTTCTTAATAAAGCGAGAGATATAGAAAGTAGAACTTTGTATTCGGGTAAGGAAAGATAAAGGTAATCCTACTCAATTGCTAAGCTTTCTTATAGATGATATGGCATTTATATATAAAATGCTAAATGTTTTCACGAATGTGGTGATGTTATTAAAAAAACTAGATATTAGGCGAGAGTGAAAAAGCTAAACACAAGCGCTAGAACAGCTAGGGTACGCTGCCATAAAAAAGGAAAAAAATTGAAGAAGAATGAGGTCTTGTAAAAACTCTTGAGAACAGACAAAAACTAAAAATGACAGCACACACGTATTGTTTAGGGAAACTTAACGGTTTCCAAAGAGATGGAAAGAAAATTAATTAATAAATTAAGAAATTCTGAATTTTAGTAGCCTCAGAATAAAAATATAGAATGTAAATTTCATTCAGTACTAAAAACAGTATGAGCAGTATTCAGCCAAAATGTTATAGAAAATGGAATCGAGAAGCTAAAATCTAAAAGAGTGGTCTGATTTGTATAGTAAACAGGAAAGGCAATAAACTTGCAGGCGGTTTTTTTAGATCAATTATTAACTAAGAATTTTGTCAATACAAAAATACTATGGGCATTAAATCACGCTAATAACTATTTTGTATAGTCTTGAGTAAGTATACGACAGCATAAATATATCGAAAATTATTATACACTGGAATTTGATCCACAGATCATATGCTAATTGTTCCAATATTTATTGACAACATATAGAAATGTTCTCTTTTAATTAAACTGGAACTAACTAAGCTTCCTCAACAAGCTCTGGTTTTAAACTGAACAACAACAAATCGTTGTTGCTACTTGTTCTTACTTCGCATTAGTCTGTCTCTTTTCTGCAAACTACGAAATTGCTAGAATGGACTGCTATCACATCTATCAACTATATATCGCAAGATATCAGGAGATATTAACTAGGCTAAGCACATCTTTTGGTGAATACAACGTTGTTGGCATTTGCAACTTCATTTTTATCGATACTCAAATTAACAAACGACAATTGATGACAGCCTACAATGAATAGCGGCTCTAAGAGGACTGTGGACGTCGGTAAGGTTACCTTTGTGTGACCTATTTTTTAGTTGTTAGTTGAATTTTATACTAACACATAGAAGACATGTGTATAAAAACATAAATATTATTGCTAAAAAAAATTTGAAATAAATATTCAAATTACGTTATGTCTATTCGGGGACTCCCCAACTTCTAGTTTTATAATTGAGAACGTTTTGTTGATATGTTATATATGAGAAATTAATTTCCAATTTGCAGTTTTTAACATATTAATAGGTAAGTTATTAAATTACTCCTTTGAAACAATTTATAGCATTTATCATAAATCTATCAAAATTGGTATCCAGCTTACGAATAAAAATTTTGTAGTACTAAATAATGAATTAAGAATATGAATTTTTTATATATATTTTAATACTTTTTGGTCAAGAATTTTTTTTTATCATAAATCTATCAAAATTGGTGTCCAGCTTACGAATAAAAATTTTGTAGTACTAAATAATGAATTAAGAATATGAATTTTTTATATATATTTTAATACTTTTTGGTCAAGAATTTTTTTTAAGAAGGTAAGAAATGTATAAAGTTAACATATATAATAAGATAAGTAACTTTTTGTAACTCACAAATCTGAATGATGATGAAAAGGGATGAACACTTATTGTCTTTAAAAGATGTCTGATGTCTCTGCATAAATTAAATGGTTAACATACATATGGTTAAAGAAAATATTAATAATGGATCAGAAAGAAACCAAAAAAAATATTAATTTTGCTAAAGAGAAGACTGTCAGTCACCATCAATAAAAAAAATGTGGAAACAATATTCATGACGACGGTTGAACCTTTTAAACGTATCGTTTCTTAGAAGTGATTATTAATATCTCGAATGAAATAGATGCATTTTGTGATAAACTAAGGATTTTGTGAAGTTGTACTAAAGGAGAAGTAAAATAAAAGGAAGTTAAATGTCAAAAGTTTAAACAATACAAAAGTTCAAACATCAATATAATCTATTTTTTTTTTGTGCAGACATTATGCATACCCATTTTGAATACTCACCTTGGTCTCTACCTTTTGCTTCTTATTAGGTCTCATTTTTAGCTATGTGATATGTCTCTTTCCAGAAAGGTCCAAATAGTAAATTTGGGGTTCAACTGAAAATAGAGATTTGAAATGTGTTGTAGCAAAAAATTATTAAATTTCAAAATATTAAACATTGCTTTTATTAAATTGATTCGTTTTCTTATGTACAAAAAATCGTAAATATACCGTCAAATGGTCCTATGTTGTTAAATTATCCTTGTCCTATATTATCTATAACCAAAAAAAATTAGGCAATAGCATAAAGTATTAGAATACATATACGGAAACTGTCGTAATTAAACTTGAAATATTTAGTTGTTAAGTTGTCACTTAAGTGAGGATCGATTGGGATTTTCATAACGTTTTGTGCTATAACGTTATGATTCTTAATCTTAATCACTTCAATTGCATATGGAAACGTTGTAAAAACTATTAAGTCACAGAGACTTAATTGATTTTCAACATTTAACTGTTGATAGAAACCGATGTGTATGAAAATTAAGTGTTAAGTGGAAAACGGAACCAACATATTGGATAAGAGACATGTCGCGCGGAAGGCTGGAGTTTAATGACCCAAAAGAAGTATACAGTAAAAAGCAATTAGATGTCGAAAGTTTAAAGAATATATCAATATAATGCCAAATAAAATATATTATATATACCCATTTTGAATACTTACCTAGGAGTTCTTCCTTCCTTTGTAATGGTTTCCAAATTTTGAATGTAATATGTTTTAGAAGAAAAATCGTAAACAATTTTCTTAACCACTTTTGAAAATTAAAAATTACAACTGAAAAAAAAATTTGATATATGTTGTAACAAAAAATATCAAAATTTTAAAATTTCAAACGTTGCTTTGATTAAATGAATTAAATGTATATTATCTATCTTTCGACATTTAATGTATCTAAAGAAATAAAAAATCGAATAAAATTAAGAAATAGAAATGTCGATTGAGGTTCTCACAACGTCTTTTATTGTAACATTATGATCTTAAATCATTTGAAATGTGAATGGAAACGTTGCAAAAACTATCAGATCACATACTAAATTCGGACTAAATCAAACTAAATTGATTTTCAATGTTTAATTATTAACAGAAAACGAAACCAATACATCGGGTGCCAGACATGTCGCGAGGGAGGCCGATATTCCCAGTTGAGTTTAATGTTAAAAAGAAGTATACATTAAAAGGCAATTAAATGTATTAAGTTTAAAGAATTAGAAAGTTTAAATACTTACCCTGGTCTTCTATATCTGTACCAGTTTCTTATTTGTTGTAATTTTTCCAGAAAAGTCTAATAAACAAATTTCGAGTATGATTTTTTTAAGTATAAACTACTTTTGGAAATCAAAAATTACAACTGAAAAAAAAATTTGATATATGTTATAACAAAAAATATCAAAATTTTAAAATTTCAAACGTTGCTTCGATTAAATGGTTTTTTTTCCTATATGCAGAAAATCATATTATATGCTAATATATCTTATCCTACATTAACTATCTTCGGATATTTAATGTATTTAAAGAAGTAAACAATCGTATAAAATTAAGATATAGAAATGTGTAAATCATTTGAAATGCAAATGGAAACGTTAAAAAAACTATCAGATCACATACTAAATTCAGACTAAATCTGACTAAATTGATTTTCTGCTTACAGTCAGAGATCGATGTGAATGAAAATAAAATTCTAATCGGAAGGCGGAATCAATATATCGGTTGAGCGACATGTCGGGCGGAGGTCTGGAGTTTAATGTTCAAAAAGGAGTATACATGAAAAAGCAATTAGCTGTCGAAAGTTTAAAGAATATATCAATATAATGCCAAATAAAATATATTATATATACCCATTTTCAATACTTACCTAGGAGTTCTTCCTTCCTTTGTAACGGTTTCAAATTTAAATATATGTTTTAGAAGAAAAATCGTAAACAATTTTCTTAACTACTTTTGGAAATCAAAAATTATAACTGAAAATAAAAATTTGATATATTATATGTTGTAACAAAAAATATCAAAATTTTAAAATTTCAAACGTTGCTTTGATTAAATGTATTAAATGTATTAAATGTATACATTATCTATCTTTCGACATTTAATGTATTTAAAGAAATAAAAATCGTTTAAAATTAAGAAATAGAAATGTCGATTGAGGTTCTCACAACGTCTTTTATTTAACATTATGATCTTAAATCATTTGAAATGTGAATGGAAACGTTGCAAAAACTATCAGATCACATACTAAATTCGGACTAAAGCAAACTAAATTGATTTTCAACGTTTAATTATTAACAGAAAACGAAACCAATACATCGGGTGCAAGACATGTCGCGAGGGAGGCCGATATTCCCAGTTGATTTTAATGTCAAAAAGAAGTATACATTAAAAGGCAATTAAATATATTTAGTTTAAAGAATTAGAAAGTTTAAATACTCACCCTGGTCTTCCTGCTCTGTACCAGTTTCTTATTTATTCTAATTTTTCTAGAAAATTCTAAAAAACAAATTTCGAGTACGATTTTTTTAAGTAGAAACTACTTTTGGAAATCAAAAATTACAACTGAAAAAAAAATTTGATATATGTTATAACAAAAAATATCAAAATTTTAAAATTTCAAACGTTGCTTCGATTAAATGGTTTTTTTTCCTATATGCAGAAAATCATATTATATGCTAATATATCTTATCCTACATTAACTATCTTCGGATATTTAATGTATTTAAAGAAGTAAACAATCGTATAAAATTAAGATATAGAAATGTGTAAATCATTTGAAATGCAAATGGAAACGTGAAAAAAACTATCAGATCACATACTAAATTCAGATTAAATTTGACTAAATTGATTTTCTGCTTACAGTCAGAGATCGATGTGAATGAAAATAAAATTCTAATCGGAAGGCGGAATCAATATATCGGTTGAGCGACATGTCGAGCGGAGGTCTGGAGTTTAATGTTCAAAAAGAAGTATACATTAAAAAGCAATTAGATGTCGAAAGTTTAAAGAATATATCAATATAATGCCAAATAAAAGATGTTATATATACCCATTTTGAATACTTACCTAGGAGTTCTTCCTTCCTTTGTAACGGTTTTTAAATTTGAATACAATATGTTTTACAAGAAAAATCGTAAACAATTTTTTAACCACTTTTGAAAATCAAAAATTACAACTGAAAATAAAAATTTATATCAAATTTTATATCAAGTTATAACAAAAAAATATCAAAATTTTAAAATTTCAAACGTTGCTTTGATTAAATGTATTAAATGTATATTATCTATCTTTCGATATATAATGTATCTAAAGAAATAAAAAATCGAGTAAAATTAAGAAATAGAAATGTCGATTGAGGTTCTCACAACGTCTTTTATTATAACATTATGATCTTAAATCATTTGAAATGTGAATGGAAACGTTGTAAAAACTATCAGATCACTTACTAAATTAGGACTAAATCAAACTAAATTGATTTTCAATGTTTAATTATTAACAGAAAACGAAACCAATACTTTGGGTGCAAGATATGTCGCGAAAGGGGCGGATATTCCCAGTGGAGTTTAATGTGAAAAAGAAGTATACATTAAAAGGCAATTAAATATATTAAGTTTAAAGAATTAGAAAGTTTAAATACTCACCCTGGTCATCTATATCTGTACCAGTTTCTTGTTGTAATTTTTCCAGAAAATTCTAAAAAACAAATTTCGAGTATGATTTTTTTAAGTAGAAACTACTTTTGGAAATCAAAAATTACAACTGAAAAAAAAATTTGATATATGTTATAACAAAAAATATCAAAATTTTAAAATTTCAAACGTTGCTTCGATTAAATGGTTGTTTTTCATATATGTAGAAAATCATATCTATCCTACATTATCTATTATCTAAAGAACTAAACAATATTATAAAATTAAGAGAAAAAAAATGTCGTGGTTAAACTTGAAATACTTCAATAATTCTTGAATTTTGTTTTAATTCTTCGAATAAAACTTTGGTTGTCTATAAAGTGGGGTTCGTGTAAGGTTTTAATAACGTTTGCTACTGTAAAGACAGCTCCCTCTGTTGAAAAATCTTATATATTTTATTGTAACTCACTAAAGTATTGCTTTCAAATGCGAAGTGTTTTAACCTTCCTCACCACTAGGTGTCTGGTATTCTACGAGCAGATATTTATTCGTTACTAAAAATAGGTGGGATTTTGCACCATAAATCTATTAAATATATTGTAAAATATATATTATAAAATATCTTTATTTTTCTGTTGCAATTTTATATTTTTTTACTTCATTAAGGTATTTTACTTTCCTTCTGGCATTTAAATAGATTTTATTAAAAATTCCTTAAAATTTAGCCCGTTGTGGAATCATTTTTTTTTTCATTACTAGTCATACCATTCATATAGATAGGTATTTTGTTACAATATTCCTCAGATATACCCATGTATCATATACCGTTGAATTACTTTAATTTTTTTTTGTTTAACATCAAATGTAGGCTTTATACTAAGCCTATAATTAGTTATACCATATACTTAGAGTCGTAATGATTAAAATCACTCTTTGTGCTTTGGCAAAAGCATACATTTTGTGTTAGATGGTCTGATATATGCTAAGTTCATTGCAGAGAGTATATAATGAAACTTTACAAGTAGATCCCTGTGATATAATCCCCGTGATGTCTAGTATTTTAGTTGTGAGCTGCAGAAAACATGTTAAAGAGGCTGTGGGCCGTGTAATTTTTTATAAACAATACATATTCTACTTCTTATTTTTTCGCAGAAATTATGCTCATATATTTGTTCTTAAGTTATAATGCTTTTTGACAACTGTAGTATTGTTAGTCTATTTCAAAAATATCATGTATATATAACAATAGATAACACCATCGATATTTTCTTATCCGAATGTAGTGTGGCAAGTTTATGTATAATGTTGAATATATGTACACTTATCAGACAATGTTAGAACTACAAAATGGCCCAACGGCCCAACTGTTGACAGTACAGTTCCAAGGTAAGACTTTTGCAGAAGAGGAGGGAGAGCGACTCATGGTAGATAATTTCTTGCCAATTCTACCAAACACACAGCAAAACCTTCCTGGGCGTCAATCCTAGTTTGGTCACCGTTTCAGCCGGTTCACCGTGATTCGACCACCACTGTTTTCGCTTGACGTTATCGTAATTTTTTTTTTGGTACGAAATCTCATCTTTCTAACTCCAGCTAGCGTGACCTGATCTAGCGGGATACAAATAACTAAAGCCATTGAAAAAATTATGGATTTCTATTTATTATATCTAGACCGTGTGTGAGTTCGAGTAAATTGATAGTAAATTGAGAAAAATGGTAACTTATATCGGTATGACAGCGAATATTGGTATATACCAGAATTTTGAGTAAGGTAAATTAGGTAAATTGGGTATTACCATTATGAAAATTTCATAAAATGTTTAATAAATAAATTTGAAAACTTTTAACAGAAAAATAATAAATAAGTGCAATAAATAAATAAATAAATATTTACATAAATGCAGTGCAAAAAATTCCTCTCAGACGAGCGTAATATATATATATATATATAGTGTATAATATAAAGAACTCATAAGGGGGACACAAACAAAAAGGACCATAGGAAGGTATTTAGAATCTAAAAGTTTTTTTTTGTTTAAGTTAGATTAGAAGAAGGGCCCAAGTGTCATCAGGTTTCACACCGTCACTGAAATTGCCACTGCACAAAACTTTTATTAATATGTTATGTGGTAATGAGATTTTAGGGTTGGGTCAATTTATCATTTCATTATCGATTAACTTTTCTTATGTATATTTGGCGCTATTGGTGCAATTTGAAAACTTAATAAGTCCTCGAATACTACGTGACTTCATGTTTGTGAAAACGTTGAAATGTTTATAGCGGAATCGTGTCAATATTTTTAACTTGGGACGGAAATACTTCATTTCTGAAGCAATAAAGTTAATGTCTTGATTTAGTAAAAGCTAAGTAATCCAGACATTTGTATAGTAAATATATTTTTTGTTAACTCATCAGTCTGTTAAATGCACGTATTTATCATAAAAGTTAGTGCAAAAAGGTTTTAGCAGACAATTTTCTTAAAAAAAAGATTTATTTTTCTGAATACGAAGTACTTAAAAACATAAATTTTTTTTAATAGGTTTCTTATAATCATTATTTATCAGCTAAGTTGATGGAAATTACTACGACGCTAATTGATTAATGTAACACAATCGGTTCGTTATCGTAAAAACAATATTGGCAAGTTGGGCTATGTCATGGGAATTGTTTACATTACTGTTAAGTCTACTTTGGGACGTAAAATCCATGCATGCTGTGGAAGGCTAGTTGTCAGTGAAGTCATATACTAATGATGTCACCTTAATTGGCGAATGATAAGAGAGCAACTTGCTTATGTCTAAGCGGTGCTTAAGTGCTTGGAGGTGATTGTAATAGAAAAATTAAATTTTTTATATTTTATGCTTAATATTACATATATAATTTTATGATTTCTTAAAATTTATTCAGAATTTATTAACTGAAATATTTTATACGGAATCTTGTTACAGAGCTGTACACTCAGAAAATTATTTCGCTTACTACAAATGAAAATTGGTCAACTGTTTTTCGTTGGTGATATCGTTTACCCTGCACTGAATTTAGTCACTACAATCAAAAAAAAGTTATTTCATTTTGTCTATATAAAAATAGAAAATAATTTATTTTTATAAATTTTTGGATGTTGACACGTATTTTGGAACGTAGATCTGATGATTAGCTTATGGATAACAATCTAATTTGTTGATAAGAATGTGTCGCTCTTTAAGCGATGTAACTCACCACTGTCCCAGCATATCAACATACTTTGTCATGAGAATTTTGTTCACTTCGGTTTTTTTTATTTTAATCCTTAGAAGTGGTTCTAGAATATGCATACACATTCCCTGCTTCATTAAAGCGACAAAGTGGGTTTATGGTCCAGTGTAGTGTGGAAGAGTTAGCATGCCTTCATATATTACATATATTGTATATATTTACTTATGTTTTTGTATGTATATTGCTGCATGTGTTATATAATTATATACATTTAAATTGTGGTATAACAATGAACCCAATTCTCAGGGAGTTAAGTTAAGTGAGTTAAGTTAATTTGTATAGACATGTGGCTGTAAGAAAGTTTCTCTATTTTTACTGACGGATCAAAAACAAGCAGTTAACTAGGCAGTGAAGTTTTCTCAGAAGGACTGAATTAATATTCTTACTATTCCTACTATAGGCTATCAGATCATTATAGTGTTTTTCACGCGTAGATGATCGCTATTAGGGAAGCTATAACTTGTCTGTTAGTGGATAATATATTTAATAGGAATATGTACATACTATCGGACAGTTAAATTGATTTAAAAATCTTGAGTTTAGTACAATTTACGTTTAGGAAAGTTTTTGATTGTCGCATATCTCTAAGCAAAATGTCGATGCGGTTTAACATTTCTCTAATTTGAGCTCCCAATCATAGGAATTTTTTTCGAAAATTGCAAAGCAGACGAATTACCGAGATAACTCGGAACACCCAAACAATTTGTGCATATCGCTGACATCATGCAAATTGTTACTGAGTTCTTTCTATTGAATTTTTTAATAAAAGATTAGAAAACTTAACGATATGTAGGCATCTATATCCAATATAACTCCGGTGCTTTCATTAAGATGGCTCGTAATGATATCAGTCTTATGGTAGATTTACTCATGGTCATTGAAAATTAGACAATTATGCTAGAAGAATAAATTAGAAGATTAGATTGAATTTTTGAAATACTACGATAGATGCAGTTGTGAAGAGGATGATGAAAGTGTCTCCTATTTGCTTTGTTGTTGTTCAGCACATGTGCGATGCCATTTTACCACTCTATGGACTTTCTTTCTTGAGGATCTTGTTTAACTGCAAGACCTCCTCATAAATATCATTATAAGCTTTGCCGAAAGTTTAAGGTGGTTTTAAGCATATGTGTTTTTCCTATTACGGTAACACTATGGGCATATGGGCCTTAGTGGATCTCTTTGGATCGCCGGTAAAACCTGACGTAACTTAATTGAAATAATAAGAATATAAAAGTACCCATGGATAAAGTGAATTGATTTATTATATAAATTATTGATATTAGGCTATCTTTGTTGGGTTAGGGACCTAACCGCAATGTTGAAAATCATTAAAAAATGTATAGGAAAAAAAGTTGAAGTTAAGGAGAACGAAAACTTTTTGCTTTTTCTTTTTTAAATTTTTATATAATTTCCTAATTACAAGTTATTCCCAAATAACAAATAACTCTTAGCCGAAAGACATTTTTCTGTCACTAATAAATTGAAAGGTTTTTCTTTCTAATTAATTAGCAAAGCAACTATGCAGAGGGTACAAATAAAAACTCTTACGAGAGTAAGAGTATAAAGATGAAGTGATTGTTCAGATGATTGCATAAAAAGTTTTATTGCTTGCAACAAATTAACTTTTATGGAGGATGCGAAAAATTAGCAGAATTACAGAACAACACGAAAAGCGTTATGTTCTGTCTTCCTAGCTATCCTGCTGTTTTAAACTGTTTTTATAACCCGCATAGTCCAATAATTAATCGGCTAAAATATGATACTGGCTACTTCGGCCATGCAATCATCTATTTAAACTGACAAGAGTGCTCAAATCGCATATTCCACACAAGCACATGGACGCTATCATTGTCATCGTATCGTTAGCAGTGGTACCATAAACTTGGGTTGTAGCTGGATTTGTACTGGAATCAGTAACATTTTAACATTTTTGCCATCATAACATGCAACTTCGATTAGTTCTTACTCTTGTCATTTGAGGGTTGCATTTCGCGGTGTGCTCCTTTCTTTCATATGCAGATGGCAACATAAATATTGATAATCCCATGAAGGGCGTAGTTACAATACGAGTAACATAAAGTTTAACCTGTTTATTGTACTTACATATTTGAATATCTGGAATTGAAGATTCTTTATTGAAGTTTTTGCTGTTATTTGCTTCGTCAAGTATTTCAAATTTGATTTGTCGGTACGTAGTGCTTTTTAACGGATATATGTCATTCCGAAAAAAAGTATAAAATTTTTTGATAGCGAGTTGTGTGGATAACTCGAAAAAATAATTTTAATAATCATAAATTACAATTATGAAAACTCGGTTATTAATAATTTTTAATCTTTGACATATAAAATTAAGCGCACTTTTTTATCATATAAATTTGACTTTAATTTGAGGAAATAGGGTTTGAATCAAGTATACCTAGATTGAAATAGATTGTATAGGTTAAAAATAGGTTAAAAGAAAAACTATAGTGTTAAATTTTATTGTAATGAATTCTATCAGATTTGGTAACATTATTTTAGTGACCCACGCCAAACAGATATCTGCCATTCAAGATATTATATCAGGTGTTTACTAGCTGTATAAGAACTATCGAATCAATAACTATGGTTTAACAGCTGAGAATCTCAAATTGTGTTGATATTTCTGTTCAATAAGGTTTGGAAATTCATCATGAATCGTTTAGAACGACGTTTCCAAATTCTGAAAATATACTTTGAAAAAAAGAAATCTATTCGCGAAGTTCATGGAGCATCACTTCAAGAGTAATGAAGCTCATTTCTGGTTAAATGTCTACATCAATAAGAAAAATTATAGTGTATGGAGCAAAAATAATCCTTAAACCGTTAACGAATCATTATTACATTCATTTAAATTGACTGTTTGGTGCGGTTTACACACTGATGGCATCATCGGTTCTTATTTCTTTCGAAATGTGGATGAAGCTGCCGAAAAATCAGCAACTCTTGACACATTGGAAGCCTCTATGCCTATATTGACGCCATATGTTCAAAATAAAAAAAAATATATCGGTTCAGTTCCAATTTTCGCTTTGACAAAAAAATACCGGTTTACGGTTCGGTGCCGATTTGAAGCCCTGCTCAATATTGACTTAAATCGTGGTTAAGTCAACTTTTTTTAACACAATTTATATTTAAGTCAGTCTTAAGATTTAAGTTAAAAAATGTTTATATGCTTTTGAATATTTAACGGATGACTTATGACTATGTGCTGCATACAGTCATGGTCACATTAATTCTGAAACTAACAATTAGAGAAATAGAGATAATTCAAATTTTTTTAACGTTCATATTTTCGCAACAGAAGACCCTGCTTTGTAGTATACATAAGTACAGTTATACTGCATTTTGAATTTAAAATTTTTATGCATATATATTATTTTTCTTTATTCTAGAAAACTCATTTTCATATACATTTAAACCTTTTCTCTTAACAAAGTATTCAGTTAATATATTTAATGTATTCCATTTAACGATAAGAAAAAAAACAGAGATGGTGAGTCCCATTAAGATACATACATATAATTCTTTTTCTTGGCATGACAAAACTTGAGTGAGTGCCTAAAGCACTTTTACTCAATAGTATCTGTGATCACTTGAATGATCCACTGTAATAAGAGCTCTTTTGAGTTCTGATAAGCTATTCAGATAATTTCTTAGAAATATACTTTGAAGCCTAGCATATGTTCTTAACGAAATATACCTTCATTGCATTTGATTTGGGAGAGGTCAGTTCTGGATGATTGTGCTCATCGAACAAATTCAGCGCTCTGTTTTTGATTATTATATACATGTAATAATAATAGTTATAATATCATTAATAATGAATATAATTTATGGGGTTTAGTTCAAGGCAGTTAAAAAACCATTGTTCAAATTTAAATTGGAATTGCAAGTTAGTTTCATGTACACATTTTGCATTAATCATTTATTAAAATCTCTTATTAGAACCATCTTTGCAGAAAAGTAAGAACCTTACATAGATATGGGAGTCCAAGCACTGAAAGAAGACTTTATCTGGAATCAAATGAATATTTATACATTGTTAACGCCTGTATCATCCTTCTTAATTTATAATTTCTTTATTTTGGTTACGAAAATTTTGAGAAGATTTCCTTTAGTCGAAATATTACTCATATCATTTTGATATCTTCTCTAATCTTGAAGCAGAAACAATCGCAATTATCTTAGTTCTCAGAAGCTCATTTAGCAATTTATTGTTGAGATCTATTTCATAACTTATAGATCATATCATCTGATTTACTTCAACCAAAATATAATATAAATATCGTTCTTTTGTTCATTTAAATTCCTTGTTGAAGTGGTTGTGTTTATTTGCAAATAAAAATTAAGTAAATATCACGATTGTCAAGTGAAATAACTTTTTAATATTTTTTGCAAACAATCCCGCCTTCTTTATGGACATATCACCGCCCTTTAACATATTTTTCAGTGAGAATTTTTTTTTATCTTTTACTGATCTACCACAAATAGGACGCGAAATTATGACCGCTATGTCTGCGAGTTGCAGCACGCAATCTTTCAACTTGTCCAGCTGCGGTGCTATCATTATTACTGTTGTTGTTGTTGTAGAGTTGAGCATTTGTTACTGCCGTTATTGTTGTAATTATTATTTCTGGTCTTAAGCTTTGGTTGGATTGTTTCGGACTTCCTTTGGGAATATATTTTTGTAGGTAATCTAAATAATGAAATCTAGGCGTCAGTCATTACAAGCGTACGCTTTGCGAATGCAAAAGATGTATCTGGTATGAATAGCAGCCACAGCCACAGCCACAGCCGTAACTAACTAACAACATATCATATTAAACATGGCCTGCAAGACTGTACGACTGTACAGATAATCTTATGAGTTGTAGTCCACAAAGATGATGGTGAGTATTGCATCATTTGATGCGCTACTATTTAGGGTGTATTTGTTCAGTTCATTACAGTGTATTCAGAATTGTATGGTGAATAGTTTGTGATATAGTAAAACACATTTAAGTGTTTGAATAAAATTTTTTTTATATATAATATGACTTTTTCATTATAATAATATATATAATGAGGCATAAAATATTACACAATTTTTTTAATATTATGTTATGTTATTCTATAATTATAATATTATTATAATTATCTTATATAATAATGTATAGTATCTATTTAAACACTTTTTCAATATATGATATGCCGTTGGTTCATGTGTTCAAATTCAGTGATATATATGACTAATTTTTTAAATCATAATTTATGTTCAATATGAAAGTAAATCCAACTTTTGAATTTGTGAAATTCTTTAACTTTCACTTAATATATCATCACAAGATTGTCATTTCTTTTTATTATACATATAGTAATTTTACTTAATTAACAGTAGCCATCACATCTTTGTTGATGGAACTGTGGTGAACTTTTGTAAAACATATTCATCGGGATAAGTCCTTTGTTTATGTTATATATATGTCATGTATATCTTATCTATAGTTGAAAATCATCACAAAAATTCATTAATCTTATAAACATCCTTCGGAGTTTATAAACCTTATATGACTTTGATATCGTGCAATTAAAAGCAGCATATTTCATGCTGATCCCTTTTCATATTAAAGATGATATTTCAAATGATATTTTTTAGGTTAGAAGTCTTGGCTATCTAACATTTTCAGGACATAAATTTCATCCGCTATATCTTGAGTTCTTGAGCTAATTAGTGCCTTTTGTTCTCTTATGACTTCAAGAAAGTTGTACAATAGGAATGCCTCCATGTAATAGTTTACAGTATAAATAGTGATTGTCAATAATTGTTTTCCCATTTCTGTAAGTCTATTAGTACTTGAGAGTGTTGAGCTGTTGTGAAAATAAAAGAAACTACTTTATTTGAGAAACAATTCTTGCTTTTTTTTATATCATAGTAATATTAAAGAATATTAAAAAAGATGTTTAAATATATTTACGGACCTATTCTGTGCACTTTATAAACTTGTCAAACATTGACATTTGTCAAAATTGACTGCTGTAAAGGTTTTGGTATTCTGTGACATAAATAAAAAGCTCTTTTCCTTGTTAGTTGTCAATACTACAAATGCTGTTGACAACTATAAAAATATGCTCTTTTTAAGCATTTTTTATTATTTGCATGCATGACAAATATTCTTAACTAAAATATACGCTCTTTACAAGCATATTTTTTATTGTTATTTGAATGCATGAAAAATGCATTTGGCAACTTAAAATATGTGCTCTTTACAAGCATTTTTTACGAACAGTTACGAACAATTTCGAACAGTTTTCTATACAAAACACTTTACACCATAGTGTGGTGAGAAGCACTAGGTACTTGAGCTTTAAAATTTATCAAGATGTGTCCAGAATACCAAAAAGCTTTCTGCTTTATAAAAATCAAAAAGTTTATTAAAGAATTTGACAAATTTGTCAAGTGCACAGAATAGGTCCGTTAGTATAGTTATCACTGACTTATTAAATAGCTCTCGTATAGTAGAATTAGATAAACTAGTAAACTGGAATACAATTTTATAATGTAGTCGTATTATAAAATGATTTCACTAATAAATCGTGCATAATTAAACTAATAACTCTAACTCCTTTAATTAAAAATCTAAAACAATTATTCTTAATTATATTGAAATTAATTATTTTACAATTAGTATTTCAATTTTTTAGAGATAGTTTTACGATCCTGACTACTATCCCGATAGTAGTAGTAGCGAATGCATTTATGACGTCATCTACTTAGTTCAAAATGTTTAATTTTGTCAACATTTTTCTGTAAATATATATATCCCGAATTATCATATATATATATAATATGGACCAATTCATTAGTAAATCTCTCTTCTCTCTCTTGTGATATTTTTTTTAAAAATATTTCAATTAATTTATATATATTTATTATTTTTTTGAGTGTGGCCTTCTGTTTAAATCTCGATTATGACATGTGTCAGCACTCATCATATTTCTAATGTTATCTTCATCATTTTCGTCAACAAATTCAATAATGTTAAGAAGAATTTCTGGTCGACATCATCGAATCTCAACTTATAAGAAGTTCATGTGTCTCCGGTCATAGAACACCACTCCTTAAATAGCCAAAAGCACTTTGTTTGATTGCTAAGCCAAAGTAAACTTTAGTGTCTTGTGCCAATTCCGGACCGGGCTTAGCTCACTTCGCTCATTTGATCTTGCGCAGAAATCATAGCCGCAATGTCGATGAAGTACGCGTGTGGGTGA